TAAAATACTTAGAACAAAACTTTGAAGAACTTGGTAAGAAACAACAAAGTTTAAAGAGTATTTTCAAAACTAGAAAATTAAAACTAGTAGAGAAAATAGAACCAGAAACAAATTAGAAACAATATAAAAATATTTTTCTCAAAGAAATAAAATCGAGCCTACTGATTGCACAGTGTCCCCTTAAGGAAATTACTCCCATCAAGTACCCGAGGTTAATGGAATATATCCTCCCAGAATAGAACGATCTTACTCACCGGTGTATCGGTACCTAAAACCACGGTGTCAGCGAACCACTCAACGGCAGTAAAGTACACTTAGAATACTAGATTTAGTAGTAGTAGAAGAAGTCCAGAAAAATTAGTTCTCTTAAAATGAGAGGAAATCTCTCAATTTATAGAAAACAAAGGGTAGTGTGAAAAGGTTCTTATTGTGCCTTACCAGAACGGTCACAAATCTTTGGAAAAGTCACAGTCTTACGGAAAGGTCACAACCTTTCATAAAAGTCACAATTTTTCATAAAAGTCGTAACTTTTCATAAAATTCACAACTTTTCATAAAAGTCGCAACTCTTCATAAAAGTCGCAACTCTTCATAAAAATCACAACTTTTCATAAAAGTCGCAACTCTTTATAAAAGTCGCAACTCTTCATTTTTCATTCACACCTTTTAAAGCCCAACACAAACCACACAGAAGATGTAAACCTCGACCTGAATTAGTTATTAGTTAATAGTTATATTAATTAATAACTAGTTCAAGTTGAGTAGATTTTTGGGAACTCAATAGCAGTTGGTGAGATAATAAGAACATTTTCACTATTATCAGTCATCATTAATATCACTAGTTATTTTTCATAACATCATCATTAATTATTATTGTTCTCAATCGACATCCACAATCACCATAGTTACTTTTCACCATTCTCCAACTATCATATCATTTTTGAAACATATTTTGTTGATATATAATTAGATTAATTTAGTATGTTATTAACTTTTATATTTATTAAATTTTAAATAAAGATAAATTTTATATATTAAGATGCTGAAAATTAAACGATCTTAATTATTTAATATTCAAATAATATTTAATTTCATACATCTTAATCTTGATATAAACAAATGAGGTCTTAGTGTCTTAACCAAATCATTAATACATATAAGATGTTTTCTTCTTCTTTTCCCAATTTTTTTATTATTATTATTACTTAATTAACCACAATTAAATTAGATATAAAAAATTAATAAAACTACAAAAATAGAATAAAACATTTTAAATTCATAGATCTCATGAAGATTAGTTAAACTAGTGAGTTTCGAATATCGAATACCAAATACCTAAACTAGGGTATGTACAATTTCCCCCCAAATATATACATCGACATTAGGAAGAAAACTTATAACTCAAAATATTATATATAGTAGACATGACTCATCATCAGGGGCGGATCTATGAAGGGGTGTGGGGGTGCCACGCCACCCCCGAACTTCGATAGAAACTCTATATATACATAGGTATATATATATATATAATATTTCTATAAATATAAAGCGTGCCATCCAAAGAACAAAACTTGCTTGTGGTGCCACGGTAGGAGGGCAACTTTAGAAGGTTGATGTTACGGGTTCGAATCCCATTTGTATCTATTTTTTTGAGAAATTTGCTGCAGACGTTTTTTAAGAAAAAAAAAGGCTCCAAGCACGTTTTTTTAAGGAAAAACAGCTGGCACATTATTATTTTTTTTTTTAATTATTATTGACTTAAATTAAATTAATTACATTATTACTCCTTTGACTTTTCACTTGCTTATTTACTTGTAAAGTTGATTTTGATTTTATCTGTTGCTACGACAACTGTGGAGAGAGCATTTTCGTCAATGAAGCACATAAAAAATGAAGTGCGGAATAATATTGGTAATCAATATTTAAATGATTGTCTAGTGTGTTACATAGAGCGTGATATATTTATAAATGTTAGTAATGATGTCATTATCGATCGTTTTCAGAATATAAAAACTCATCGAGGACAATTGTAAATGAATGATGAATATTTATAATATTAGCAATATTATTGAAAGTTTTAAATTTGTTAACGTCATGCTTTTAGCGGAGTGTGGATTTGTAATATCTTATTATTTATATTTTATTGATTAATTTATAATATGTATCGAAAAGACGAATAATTTAATTAAATATAAAATTAATTTAATCAATAAGTCTATTTGGCACCCACAGACTCTAAATCCTGGATCCGCCACTGCTCATCATTGAAGGGTCTCTTCTCCAAATAAGACAAATTAAAGTTCATATCATCCATCATATATCTTAGCTTCTATGTTCATGGCCATGGTTTGTCAAGCCCCAACATAAGCATGTGAGGTTATATTTGGCCCCCCTTTTAATGTCTGTAGTTCCTAATTAACATGGCCACTTAAACTTTAGAGACTCACAAAATGTCAAATAATCATAAAATGACACCAAATTTGGATTTTTGTGAGAGTACTACAACATTAGGATATTAGCATTTGCATAAGTTGGACAAAATCTTAAGTGAATAAACAAATACGATCTTGATAAGGTGAAAATTCGTGTATTAAGTAAGTACATATATATATATATATATATATATATATATATATATTTGTATGATTCGATGGAGTATTATTATTTAGGCATAATATATAAACGTGTTTTAAAATTAGTCTCGTTTGGATGTGTATAAATAAACACTTAAACTTGTATAAAATTAAATAAGTAGACACACACATTTTACTTAGCGTCATATGTGACAATCTTTGATCACTAAACCCCAAACATTCTACATCAGGTGTTGCTTGAGCTTTAGTATACAAAGTCGTTGCTAACATTCCATTATCGTTGCAATGAATTGGAGGTTGGAGGTTCAAGGATCAAACTCGGCCACACTTGAGAGAATGACTTGCTCCATCCGCGCACCATACCAATAGATGCCAAAGAAGATCATGATTTGTTCAAATCATGTCATTAATATTAACTTTTACTTATATTATGATATATAATACTAAAAATTTTCAATGAAGCAGTGTCGGTTGACATTACTTGAGATAAGGTGGGTCCGCCGATGCTAATAGCAAGAGTTTTGATATTAAAAATATGATATTTTTGGGGAACTATAAGACTTTGGTATTATATATAATTTTGATCTTATAATATATTCTTCAAGTAATTTTCCCTTTTAAAATTGCATTACTATATACCATGGTAGAACAGACAATTAAAATCCAAAGGTATTCAAGAGTTGCTAAAAATTACGCGTAATGATAAACATTAGTAGTATATTAGTCAATTAAGCTATAGTTTTATAAAATTACGATTCACGAGTATGGTTTAATAAAACTTACTATTGATTGTGGGAACCACATACAGTTTGTTTCTGGAAATAAAAGATATATTCGGCGAATTTGTATACAAATCTAATTTTGTCTCTTCTCTTTTCACTCAATAATTTTCTCTTAAAATCTCTTATCCATATCAATTTTGAATTTTGAATTCAATTTTCTCCCTCTTAGTCGTGACATCACAATTCAAGGTAACTGTCCAAATATGTTTCAATTTTTTTTTTGTTTTTTCTGTGTATACGATTTTTGTTTGCCTAATCTTTTATAAAATTACATCTTGAAGTTTCATTTTTTCAGTTACTTTAGTAAAACAAGTGGATGATCAAACTCCATAAAAAAGGATTACTAGAGGTATATCATTGAATGACAATTTTTTTGACGATCCACCATCTTTTTCTTTGGATTTAACACAAGATTTTGGTGTGATTGCAATGTCAATTGCAAAATTTAGAGCAATTAAAGGAAAGAGATCGAATCAAGAGTTTAGATCCAAGCACAAAAAATGATCCAATTATTATGCAACAAACTAACAAATTAAGAGTTTAGATCCAAGTAAATTTTTTTGCTTCTAATAGCAATGAGTCCAAAATAAACGACGATGTCGTTTCTGATTTAATGGAACAAAACGAATCTGAAGAAACCCAGCTATTTGTATAAACCTTATTAGTATATATTAATTTGTATATATTTATGTATTTGTATATTTCGTTCTTATATTGTATTTATCTATAGGTATTTGTGTATATACAAAATTTCATTAATGTTGATTGGTTCTATATTATTTTTTTTTGTTTATTTTATTTTCACGTATACTATCACCCGCAATACCTTATACGAATCCAATGTATAATTTTCAACATTTATAGATAACTGCTTATATATCCATTTTAATGATTTATATACATATATAAATAATTGTATATAATATGTTCACTTGTATAAATGTCGAAATTAACTATGTTAACGAAGTTTTGTTTTACAGTGAACTTATTTTTGGACATATTTTTTTAGGGTATTTGATTTCTACTCAAAGAAGCACCCCAAGAATGCCTCACACATGCAGTGTTTTACAAATAATGATTTATATACATATGAATATACAATTCTTCCACTCAATAATAATATATATTTGTATACAAATACATATAATTAATCTATATACGAATGAAAAGAAAATTTCAAATACATTACGATTATGGCGTTCTTTGTGTAGAAGAAGTCGTTTTAAGCAATTATAGGATTGTCATCGATTTTTTGTAACCGAAATTGCCGTCTTTTGATAATTTATTTTAAAAATCAAATTTGTATAATTTTAAATAAAAATCCGAGATATACAAATGTTATTCCGCTTAGCAAATGAAACTATAGATATGGAGCGTACTGTAACTATGTAGACTAATTAAGTTTTTTCTCTTTGCCATATATGAAAATTTCCCTTGCTAAATTCTACTCTACTACATAAATACATTTTGGGCCATTATATAAGGCCTTGTCCACATGGTAATGGGCTCTATGCTAAGCCCAACTGAACCGAAAAAGTGAAAAAAAAATAATTAAAAAATCTGCATATAAATAAGTGTACGAGAAAAAGGGGATTTTTTTTTTTTCAAAACAAAATATTTAGGCGCTGAGTTTGTTCTTGTTTTCTCAAAAATTCTCATTCCCGCCCACTATTTGTATCTCCAGGTAAGCATCAATTTTCTGTTTTTATCATTTTTATTTAGTTGAATTTCGTTCATGAATCTGCTTGGAGTTTGAATCTATTGAATGGCGATTTTTTGGGATTTTTTTGATATTTTTTTCAGTCGGAATTGATATCTGTATATCTGCGTTGTTGATTGGTTTGTATCTATTGATTTGATGCTTAAACAAGTATAAAATACTTCGATTTTTCATCGAATTTGAACTCGGAATTCAAAGATGTTCGATTGGAATCGACACGAGAATTGGTAAATGTTTGGAATTCAGTTTTCTTTTTTGTTGTTTAAGAAAACCCTAGCTCTGTTTTTTTTTTTTTAAGAGGATGCAGAAAATTAAGCAGAAAGAGAACAAATTTGATGTTTATCGTCCATAGTTGATACTTTAGCTGAAAAGTTAGTTTTGGATTTGGGGATTGGAAGAGTTTCAGTTGGAATTTGGTGTGAGGATATCTGTGTTGTTTCAATTCATTGATGAGATTCAGTTTTGCTATATCTTGCTTCATTAAAAAAAATGGTACACGGGTTTGGTAAATTTTTCTGCTTTAGAATTAAGCATAAAGAGAAGAAATTTGATGCCTTTGGTCCATAGTTGATACTCTCTCCTTTAGCTGAAAAGTTAGTTTGATTGACCTAATGGCTTTGAATTTGAATTTGGGAATTGGAATATTTTTAGTTGGAATTTGGTGTGAGAATATCTGTGTTGTTTCAATATATTGATGTGATTCAGCTTTGCTATATCTTGCTTCATAAAAAAATGAAACACAAGTTTGGTACTTTTTACTGAGGTCTCGGGTTCAATGCCTAGTAGAGGCAAAAACACAAGTTGATTTCTTCCTGTTTGTCCAAGCCTTGATGGATATACTTACCCGGTACTTGTGCTGGTGGAAAGTAGCAGGTACCGCATGAAATTAGTCGAGGTAGGCGCAAACTAGCTAACATTATAGTTGTAAAAAAAGTGTGCTATGAGGTGCATTATTAAGAAGTCCTTTATAATTTGTTAGGATACAAATATGATAAAAACCACTTTGCCAAGGCTTGAATAGACGAAGAGGTCTTTGAACAGAGAGCCATGAAAGGCTAAGGAGGAAGTTCGTGGAAGTTGACTTTACAGGAGATTAACTAGATCATTCTCTCTTTGCAAATTTAAAGATTTAGTTCCATCCTCTAAATTGAGTAGCTTTAGTCAAAATATTAATGGGCTTGAAAGTGTTCTAGATGCTATTTTCACAGCTGAAATGTATGTAACCTTTGGAGCCTTGGACCTTATCCTGTGTTTTATAATAATTCTGATACCAAACATTTTATTACACCTTGGAAACCCCAAATTTTGGCATGAAATTTGGAACCATATTCTTTTTCTAACAGGATATGTGATACTTGTCCATACCTAGGGCTCGAACTCGAAACCTCAGCAAGGTGAATCAATTTTATCCATCCCACCACAACCCTTATTGATACTTTATTATTTATAACCATGCCCATTTTGCATTTTAGCGGAGAAAGTATTTGGGTTATGATAACTTGTACTGGTGAGATAAAAAATGATAGGAGGAATATGATTCATTTGCAAGTTTGGTGCATAAGTTCAACGAAGAGATACTTACCATACCTTATTTATGTTGTTATTTCTTTTGTTGCTAAAGGAACTATTTGTGACTTCTGATTACCTGTTGCTACAGTTTCAACTTTGGAAAACCAGATGAGAAGAAGCATTGCTAGACTTATGGGCAGGGACACTTGCGAGGCTGATTACTCATTGCTTACCATTTCACCTTTGCTGTTCCTTATATTGTTGGGAGTGATCAACTTTAGAAGTTGTTGATTTAACCATTTGGTGCTTCTATAGGAACTGAACTTTTCAAGTTTGCTGTTGTTAAAGATTTGATAATGACATGTAATATAGAGAAAAAATTTGTTGAATGACATGAATGAATTTTCTGAAGTAAATTAAATGACAATACTCAGCCATTAAATTTATTTTGCAGAAGAGCAAGCTGCCATGAAATCGAGCCGATGTATGAAGAGAAAGGTAGGTGATGTTCATGAAAAATACAGTGACAAGGAGAATGTAGCATCAAAGAAAGCAACATGTAGGATTGGTCGACAGAATCTGAAAGCAGCAGGTCAGGCAGCTGACATGAATCTGTAGACAGTTGTTTTCATTTTCCAACTCATTTACGTTTATATTAGTTGCATGATCCGGGAGTTCCCGGTTGCTGTATGTTGAGTGTTCTGATTGAGTTCCACTTGTGTTTGGGTTGTCTCTCAACTGAGGATGTGCCTTTTCTTGTGTACTTCCCAGGGGACTGTAGAAATTTTTCGGCTGGGGAAAATGATGTGACTTTGCCCTTACAAGCTGCTAAGGCATCTTGTCAAAAGCTTCCAGGAAGGACAACGTGTTCCCCTGTAACAAAAGGAGGTGCTGCAGAAGGGAGTCAACAGCTTAATTCTTGTAAGAAGATTAAGCTACAGCTTTTTCCAATAAATAAAAGTACCCGACAGAGATTGGAGAAGGTATAACTATGAATTGATGCATTAAGAGCTCTGCATAAAATGTACCAGGAATAACTTTTTATTGTTTTGGTATTTCTGGTAGGATTGCTGCAACCCATTCCAGGAACTCACTTTAAGTGCTCAGAAGAAGATATCATCAGTGATTAAGCACCTTAATACAAAGTGGAGTTCTACGAGTTTGGGGTTAGGGGAGCTCCTTCTATTCCCCTATGATACTTATACAGAAAACATAACATCGCAGAAAAGATGGAGCTCTAAAGATACCAATGTTTCTGCAGGAGAAGTGTATGCAGCAATAGGAAGTCCTGCCATTTTTCGCTTAAGGTTTTAGGCTGGTCTGATTTCATTTTTTAGCATATAACTCTTTAATCAAAATGTTTTAATTAGTCTCTAATTTTCTAGGTATGACTGGTTTTCTGATCTTAAGCTCAAGACTTTTGAGGTACCTGATAGCTCCCAGCCCTCTGGTATGCATTCACAATCAAGGGGTAATAAGAGAATCTTTGCTGCTGCAATGGACTCAGCAAATGACAAAGTGGAGGGAGCTAAGTTGAAAAATGAAGAGCTTATTAAACCAATCTGCAATAATGAGCGTGCAAATGTAACTGAGAATCAGAATATGGCTTTGAACATACCGGTTGATCACATGGTAAGTTATTATGCCTGTCTGGTTCCTTCACTTTGTCTCTTGTTCTGTAAATCTTTTCAGTCATCCAATCTGAAGCCTTTTAGGGTTTTTGCTGATTTCAGTTTTCTCATTCGCACTTATGCTGAAAAGTTGAACAGAATGAAAAATAATGCTGCCCCCTTATCCTGTGATCTTGGTAATCTCTGGCAGTTCTATTGATACTGCTAGATCTGCCAGTGCAAAAGCTTTAATTAATTCATAAATGAGTGCCCAAAGCATTAGATGCACCCCATTACAGATTTTTCTTTTTAAGCTAAATAAATAAATTTTTTCGTCCACTTTAGTATTTTCTCCATGTATGTATGTATTTGTAGGTATACTCTATTAAAATACAGATGTTTGATAGACACATCCTTTGATTGGCATGTCAAGTTATCTTTAGTTTTCCAATTCCCAGGAAACGTGTGCTCAGGATGCCCCGGTTGCTTAACCGGAAGCACACGGGGGGAGAGAGATGGGTGGGGATGCGGGTGGCCTGATTTAAAGATTAGTTGACTTATCGCAGGGTTAATCGGCTTAGTCTGGGTACAGATTTTGCAAATATTACAGATTTTAGATAGATAAGTATTAACTTAATATTTAGAACAAGAAAATAGAGTTAAGAACAGACAATTTATTTTGAATGTAGAATGACAGAAAATGTAATTATACTAGTTCACACACCAATTCCTTGGGTTAACTAATGCCGGTAAAGACTTTATTTTATTGTCAATATTAGGTACACTTACAATTTTTTACACAAGAGTGTAGTTCTTGAGAAAAAACAAGACAGAATGTTTTTGAATCAAAGAGCTGTATTTTATTCTGCTCTGGCTTTTGAATTTGTAGAGGTTTTGGTTTGTAGCTGTTGAACTTCTTTCTTTGAGACTTGATGCATGTTGAATGCAGCTCAGTGTTCCCAAGTCGACCAGTGGTAGGAGCTTCCTGTTGAGTAACCCAAGGGATTTTTAATTGCTTTGGCAGGATTACTTTAATTCCAACTATTTGAGTCAAGATTTCTTTCTTGATCACCTTGTTGAATTCTTGGCTGTCATCAATTTAAGTCTTGGGCTTCTGATTTTATTTCTTTCGAACTCTTGGGCCTCTCTTCCTTTGATCTGTCCTTGTTTCTTCTGCGTGTAACGTCTTCTGTCTTGATATAGAGGTTGGGCAGAACTCGTTCATCACGTTTTAGGCTGCTCTTTTTATCTCCTCTGATTTCTTTCTTCATTTCTCAGTTCGTATTTTCCACACTTCTTTGTCTGATTTTTCTTCCTTCTGGTTCTCGTTGACAAACCCCTTACAACATATTATTAAGAACTTCTCATAATTGTCCCAGAAGATCAGTAGTTGCTCAATTCGTCTAACCTTTTTCATTGTCAATATTAAAATTTAAATCTAACATTAACTTCTTATTTTTTAGTTTAAAATCCATACTTCAAAATTATTGGCAGACACAATTAAAGATATTCCTTTTCTCCTCTACCCCTGCATTGATGCTTAACAAGGTGGACCTTTTTTTTGTTTGATAAGTAGGCATATCAAAGTGGATTGTGATACCTGTTTCCTGGGGATACCTAATCCACCCAATTAGAGAGTTTGTTCCTGAAAATACTCTACCAGTGTTTTGGATCTTCTGAATCTGAAATTGGTATGCTTGTCCTGCAAGCTGTCTGCAATCTGCGTGAACCGCAAGCTGACAACAGAACCAACATCTAGGATACAACATGTTTACTTAACCTGTAGACTGTGGTAGGTGAAGCAAACTGATGTAGTGATAATATGGGGTGTACTCAATGCTCGAGATGTGTGCATAATCAAAATTAACATTCTTTATAGGATAAAATATGAATAAATAATTGTTGAAATTGCCTTTCAAACTTATTGCCACAAAAGCTGGATGGTGTGGTTCCCTTACCACATATGAGGGGCTAAGATCATTTGTTAACCACTACCCTACCTCTGTGATTATATTTGATGTGTTATAGGACTGGTCTAACTATTGTTTTAGTCCGTAGAGGTGATTCCTCTCAAAGGACGTAGATGTACTTTTTTACTAGTGGAAAATGCTATAGACATCTTAAAATTCAGTACTTGATACTCCTTTCTAGGTTGATGAAGTAAGAAAGCAGAATGTCCTTTCAAAGATAGATCCGTGGAATGATATTTTGACCAACCTAAGCATTGGAGGATTGTTTTCTGAGGCATCTATGCCAGGAAAGATCAGCAACTCAGAAAATAAATTGGATTTGCAGCCACCGCCGTTTAGTTCCTACTTTAGCACAGGAAACTTCCCTTCTGAAGCGTCTTCTCAGGGAAAGATTAGTGATTTCAATTTAGCTTCAAAAGAAACATCTGGGTTGAAGGAAACATCAGAGTGTGGCCACCACATTGAGTCAAATTTTTTGTGGGATTTTAATTGCACTAACTTGAGCATTGGAGGATTTCTGTCTGAGGTGTCCTTGCTGGAGAAACTAAAAAAACATGACCAAAGAAGTGAGGACAAACCAAGCTCGCAGGATGCGTTTGTTGCTGCATGCATTAATTCACAACCTGAAATTTCCAAGTCATCACCTCATGAATTGCACTCATCTATCTTGGATGCTGAAGAGACATGCCATGCATTTCCAGTGCGTAAAGCTTCATCAGGAAATGAAAACGCCACAACTTTGTGCGGAACAGCTGGTCCTGACAATTCAAAATCTTTCAGAATTCCATCATCCTCTAATGCTGCTGGGGTTTGTTTGCTGTAATCTTTTCTGGTTTCAGTTTCAAATAGCTTATTTTTTACCATCATTAGTTTTGGCTTTTGATAATACTGCTTCCGTTAAGGATCAACTCTGAGCTTCCTGAACTAGTTTGCTGCTTCACTATTACACGACTTTGTGATATTCTCATGGAAGGATTGACAATTTCTTATATATTCTGATATTATTACAGCACACAACTCAAAGTCTGATTATGCAGGATCAATCATCTCAGCAACCAAAGACAACCCTCTTTCCTCGTTCACGGGGTGTTTTCAATGAAGACAGCAGCCTTGGGCTAAAGGGCAACATTAAATGGGTACTCTCCGCCTTTTCACTTTGCTTGTTCCATCTGAAATCTTTCTTCTTGTCCACAGTAGAACTTAACATGCTCCATTCCTATGCTTACTTTGCAGGAAGACTCTTTGGGACCATTTGATCTTGGACAGCCCATTTTGAGACCCGTTAGCGGTGGGGACAGTGTTAGCCTCAGCGAGTTCGTTAAATAACAAACTGTAGAGTCTTGAAATGAATACCATAAACAGAAGAAAATTCTCCTCAGCTCGAGGATCAAATTCTTGATAAATGATGCTCTGAATTGTTCATAAAAAGTTTTAAAACAATCTTGTGATTACATACATTTGTATTGTTATGTGTAATATAGCCTTAATTTAGGCTTTTCATTCTCTTCACCATCTTAAGGCAAAGGATTTTGTAGTACTTTCATATGAAACTCGAGAAATTTGTTTGAACATGCAATTTGGAAGTTTTTAAATTATATTTTTTATCATAAACATAAAAGTTTCATTTGGTATAGTTCTTAAACAAGATATCGAAATGTGTAAATTACATATATCCATGTTTTTTTAATAATAAATATTTGTGAATCCTAAATAAATGGTATCAGAATGTCCTAAAATACTATAGTTGACTTATTTTAAAAAGTAGAACATAAGTAAAATTGTGGAATTATGAGATTCTTGAAATTAGTTGGTTCACGAAAGAACACGAGATTTAAATTCACATTTTTTGTTCTACTTGGAATGTGAATATGAAAAGGAATGATTTATTTTGATTCAACTCATTTGTTCTACTTTTCTTTGTGGAAATTTTATAGATGACATTTATTAGACTAATATTTTCAAGTTATAGTAGTAGAATAAAACTTTCAAGTTGTAATAATAAAAAATTTCAGGTTGTAACATTTATTTTTTAAAAAATAATATTCATTTTTTTTTTAAATATCATTAAAAAAAAAACAGATAACATTAATGATAATTAATAATGCCATAATTTAGGGGATTCAAAACAAAATAGGAATATTTGGTTTCCTTTTTTTACTCAATCAGTTATAATTAAATCAAAAATCAGATTTTATTTTTTTCAAACGTTTCTCTCCCCCTCTAATTTTTTTCTATCAATTTGTTTTCCTTTTTTTCTCAATCAGTTAAAATTAATTCAAAAATCAGATTTTATTTTTTATTCAAAGTTTCTTAGTCCCTCAAAAAAAAAAAAATTGTGATTGTCGTCATTCACAACTAATTCCAAAATATTCTTGGTTCAAAAATCTTTATTTTGTGGTAATAGATTCTTATCGATATTAATAAAACATGGTGGTAGATGGGATCGTTCTGGTTAGTATTTATTGCAATTTATTATTTGTATTTTTATTCCAACTTCAAAAAAATAAATTTAAGAACAATGAAATTTTTGAATTTTAGTCGTGTATAATAGATTTAAATTGTAATTTTTTTTGTATGAACCTTCGTTTGTTTCATATTACAAAATATTTTTTGTGAAAATTGAATAAATGATGTTATGAGTTTTTTGTATACTGGTTTTTGTAATTTGTACACTGTAAACACCATAGATGTCGCGATTTTGTATTTATATTTGGATGATTTGATTATATTATTTCGTGTGTGTGAAATAGTGATGATGTTATCGTTATAAATATATGAAATGTGTGTAAAAAAATAAAATGTATGAAATGTGTTTTATGGTATGAATTTTGGTAGACTGTTTGGAATGATATTGATATGAATAAGTAATGACGAATGTCTATAAATTTGTGTGATAATAATGAAGTTGTGGATGAAACTTGTATTAGGTTGGTATGAAATTTGAATATAAATACCATATTTATTATTTCTTTGTATTATGTACGACAGACTGTTATTTTTTTATGAAATGTGTTTTATGGTATGAATTCTGGTAGACTGTTTGGAATGATATTGGTATGCATAAGTAATGACGAGTGTGCATAAATTTGTGTGAGAAGAATGAAGTTGTAGATGAAATTTGTATTATTATGGTATGAAAAGTGAATATAAATACAACATATTTATTATTCCTTTGTATTATGTAAGACTAACTGTTATTATTTTTAATGAAATAGGGAAATATGTTGATTTTCAGATGGAGGGAATTATCTATGAATCTTCCAGTCTGTATGCTGGTCTAGTAAATGCGATAACATCACAACTTAGGATAGATGTTAATATTAAGTCAAATTTAAGTATGAAAATGGTATCCATTTGGTATCCAACTGAAGTCCCACTGATTGAAAAAACATGTAATTGATATTTCAACCGAATTAGCCAACCTAAAACTAGTTAATGTTGTATCCAATTGGTATACACTTGGTATCAAACTGATGTCCCACTGAATTTTAAAAAAAAATATGAGATTTCAAACGAATTAGCCAACCTAAGGCTAGTTAATGTAATTTCTAATTGGTATTCATTTGGTATCCAACTGATATCCCATTGGAAAATAGAAAAAATAAGACGTAGTTGAAATTTCAACCAAATTAGCTAACATAAAACTAGTTATTGTTGTATCCAATTGGTATCTATTTGGTAACCAACTGATATCCAGTTGAAAAAATAGAAAAACTAAGATGTAATTGAGATTTCAACCAAATTAGTCAACCTAATACTAGTTAATATTGTATCCAACTAATATCCATCTGGAAAACTTAAGTGTAACAATGTATACAGTTGTCCTATAAAAGGAATCTCAAAATATTTTAATTATTATTATGTTTATGATGTGTTTTTCAAAACTAAAAATTCAATATAAATCTGGCTTATGCTGATATCCAATTTGTATACACTTGGTATCTGACTTGAAAAAATGTATGAAGTTGGTATCCAACTGATATAAATCTAGGAAGAGTAAATTTGATAATGTAAAATAATGCATAGTATATATTGTTGTAAAAAACTGTAGCAAAAATAAATATACATCATCTAAAAATTAAAAAGCATGTAATAATTAAAAATCTAAGCTACAATCAACTATCTCAAATATGTTTTTAGTGGTCTTGGTGTAGGATATTGATAGTATCCGGAGCATGTTCATTTGCTATGCGGGGTCCACCAAATTTGCTAGCAACAGTTTCAGTTACTTCACTCTCACTAATTGCGCCATCAACAAACCTGTTTCTTCCATACTATAGGATTGTGGCGGATCTTTGACGATGGTACTTTACATCGATATCAATGGGACCCATATCAAAAACTCCATTGCTAATATATTCAGCAAATTGACATATGTACATACCACAATCACTGAACCAACATTGAATAAAAAATCACAAAAAGATAGAAATATATATAAATTTCATATTAATTTTTATCCCCATTTCACCAACCTCAATCGGAAAACAATTTAAATACAACTGTGGAAAAATCATACCAGATTTATACAAACTTCATGCCAATGACAACCATATTAAGACAAAAAAAAATCATACTAACTACATAGTATATCAATTTCATGTGAAAAATATACTCAATCTGATCATATACAATTTTATCGGGGTTTGTTTTTTCTTGGGAGTGGTAACACACTTGTTTGTCGGATTTGCATTCCTGTTGGTATCGACGGCGTTTGAGTCAAGATGTTAAAAGATGAAGCCTCAATTTCAACATTAGAAACCCCTTCTAAAGAATCTGGGACCTTTATAAGTGTATGCTGATGTTTTTTATTCTTCAACATGTTTTTTGTCAATCAAAACTCTTGATTCTTTGTATTGTTTAGAAGATTTGTCCTTTTTTTGAGTGTACAAAGAAGAAGAATGAAGATGATGAGAGAGAAAGATTTATTGTTCTTCTTTTGGATGTACAAAGAAAAAGAATGATGATGGTGAGAGAGAAAGATCTACCATTTGAGTAAATGTTTGAATGTGAATAGTAAAAGAATCCCTAAAAAGGTGTAATGTTATGTGTGGAAGGTAAAAAAAATCCCTAAAAAAGTGTAATAGATAACTACCATTGATTCTCTCTTATTAATTTTATTTATCTCACCTATTAAATAAAACATAATTATAAAAGACTAATTATTTAATGAAGTGGAATTAATTGAATTATAAATAAAAAATGATATGTCATAAATGGCAATTAAAATGTTATAAGTAGTAATATTTTAAAAGTAGATTTAAAACTTGTAATATTACTCCTTAAATAGATGTGTGAGGTGATTTTTCCCATTTCTTTTTAGTTTGTTCAAAAAAGATTTTTTTTTTTTTCCTTTTTATGACTTTTTAATTTCAACTTTTCACTCAACATATTTAAGAATACAAGATGAAAGGACATTCTAGTGCATTGAACATATCTTTAGCTTAATACTACAAAATTTAAACTTTTTTTTTTACTTTTTTAAATTTCATGTCAAATCAAATCAAAATGTCAAATTAAAGTGAAAGAGAGTAGCATTTATGCATATGGTTTAATCATTAATGCCAATATAAACTCTATTTACCGGGCATAAAATTTTCTACAATTCCAATCATTAGAGGAGTTACAATAATTATTTTTTTGGGTTAAAAAAAAGCATGTTGATGCATTAAGCTCTCGTTATATTTAGAATCTTGATAAATATCGAACCATAAATATCTATTATATATAAAAAGGAGTATCTTGGTGTTGGGTTCGAAAGTGATTATGACGTCATGCGGAAGCTTATAATTGCAAATCATGAGTGATATATTAGATAACAAAAACATATACTAAAAACAAAATATTATTATATGATTTGACCAATTGGTCTACATATGAAAACTAATATAAAAGAAGAATATTAAAACTGTCAAGAGAAAAATCTCTCCATAAACTAAACTCTTAAGCGTCTACATTGTGCATTCTATTGTGTTGTGTTATGTTATGAGAATATGGATCTTCAATTTATAGGATTTCAGTCTTCCATCTAAAGAAAGAATAAACCAAATATGAAAGAAAAATATATTTTCCTTTCATGAAAAGTAAAAACATTTATGGTAATATTTTGTCTTTTCTTTTAGGAAAAATAAACTTCAAATAAGGTAAGAAAATCAGGGTAAAACCCTAACACTAGGTGCATTAAACTCTCGTTATGTTTGGAATCTTGAAAAGAATCGGACCATAAATATCTATTATATATATATAAAAAAAAAGAGCATCTTAATGCATTAAGCTCTCGTTATGTATGGAATCTTGAAAAAAATCGAATCACAAATATCTATTATATGTAATTTTATCTTGCGTATATAAATTAATTATATACAGTATTGGTTATATTTAACTGATAATTCTGAAATTT